GGGGGGGGGGGGTTGGTGAGGAGTGATCGGCTCGTAATAAAAACGAGATCGAACTCCCAATGGGGAGCTTACGAGGAAATTGTTCCGAGTGTACGAATCTATCGATATCGTATTCTCCACTTTTCTGAGCGTCTCTCGCGCGACGCTAAAGAAGTTTATTACGGCGTGTCTCCCCTCCCCCTGGCAGTGGTTATTCTTTTTATACGGCATGAAACGCAATTATGCTTCACCCCGACGAGGTGCACTCCCCCACCTGTATCGGTATTGATATTACGTGAATCAACGATAAAAACACAGCATCTCCCATGGCACTAGTTTGTGCAATCTCATTTGTGAAGTATAACGAGGTTCTATTTGTTTTTCGTTAGTTTCCACCGGTTATTGATGACGAAGTCAATATCATTATCGGTATAATTAATGCGTAATGGACGATGCATCAAGTTCGTTAAAACTCCTGTGGTGGAGTAATGTGATAGTGGTAGGCAGTGATATTGCATTTTCTGGCTTGTCGTACCTGTGAAATATTCAGAATCAACAGTTTCCGAGCTCAGCAACAGTTTCATTCTGACTGGATGTTGTTAGATAGGGGAATCCTTTTATATTTTCATCGAATATTGCTTCTCGTTGCATTTCTACTTCTCGTAGCTCTTTGGAAAATTATGTTTTGGAAGTGGGGGAATGCAATTGAGGGAGATTACATTGCTGTTGGAAGTGCAATTGAGGGAGAATAACAGGGTGGAATTACATGAAATTGAGTTTTCGGAATTATTTACATGTGAAGGGTGATGGTTGGAAAGTGGTGGAGAGGTTTTAAGTGATTGAGGGTTTCTATTGGTTTTGTGACTGCGTCCTCAACATCCTTCGGGGGTTAACGTGTGGGAGTTTTTTTAAATGATAAAACAGCTGACATTTTCAATATACTTTAATACGAACATTATATTTATACATTTGAAAGGTCTAAACGTGACTCCGCAATGAACTCAATGCAGGTTTGATACAATGATTGCAATGTTAAAAACAATTGGAAGACAATTCTTAAGAATTAAAGGCGTTCATTATGGAATCCCTTTTACACTTGAGGACTTCGTCGACTCGTCTGTACCATCTTGACTCCAAATTGCTCCCGCAGCTCCCACATTCGAGACAATCTCACATGTAGTTCTTTCTTAATGCAATATTCTTGCAATAGAAAATTGGACCTTTTATATTTGAATTTTTTTATTCGCTATACAAAATTGAATAAAATTGTCCTAATGAGAAGTTCTCAGACACTTCGAAACATTGGTATTTGCAAGAATGGGAGTTGTGTTTTTCATCAATCTCGACTTTAATTGAGTTGAGGGTGGAAAAGCATGTCATACATTAATATCTGCAGATGAAATCCCGAAGAGAAATATTCAAAATGTATTATTATCCTTCGATGTAGAAGGCAGAGTATGCCATACTTGGCATTAATAAATAAATATTATTATCCTTCCAGCCATTCTTCCGATATTGGAAGAAACTAAATATTGGTTTCTGTTTACCAGGACTTTCAATGGGCTGTGGTCTGATTGTCCTCGCGTCAGCATTGTCGGATGCCTCTTACGAGTCCCCGAAGAGATACAGCCTCTCATCAACATCGAGTAATTCCGAGGACAGTGGATTGCCGCAGTATCACTACGGATGGTGTTTGCAACTTTCTGGACTTGCTCTTATCCTCGCAGAAATCGCTGCCCTCCTCACAGTCTCCGGGTACATGGCGCGATTCCCAACAGTCGAGGATATGGTAAATTTCAATTTGCACTGTCACATATGCTGATGTATTCTGACATTCTGTGATTATTAATAGGTGCGAGTGATGGTGCCTGGAGCGGCTCGAAAATTGAATGAGCAACGTGGGTTATCCTCCGAGTATCTCGTTAGAGCTCATCAGAAGTCTCCCGGCGCGTCTCAAGCAAGAACGTTTGATGAACCAACCAAAGGTGAGGTAGATCCTCAATATTCGTGTCAATGCCCACTCGTATTCTAATCACGATCTAATTAACAAATTCTCATCACCCCTCCCTAATTGGAATAAATTACGATAACGTCATAAGGCCGCAATTGTATCAGAATTCATGAAGCGCTAACACATGCTTTCTATTTTGAAGATGTGATTCTGGGGCCACAAAGGCTGACTGAAGAGGGCACGTCTTTGCTTTGCAAATCAGCCCCCGATATATGTGCATCTAACCCTCAGGCGATCAGCTACGTGGAGAAGGCCGATCTCTCCCACATGTTGCCAGCTTATCCCGACGCTCAGGTGGTGGATCCGCGCTTCACATTCGTCGATAAGGCAGAGCCGGGGGTCGTGGATTCCCGGCTGAGCGGCTTCGTCGATAAAGAAGGCCTTATCGACTCCAGGATTCTGTCCGACTCGAGGCAGAACATGATCGCCTTTACCGACAGTAAGGAACACTCGCTCGGACAAGAGCCGAGGTACGTCGAATTTTGCACTGGTGTTAGAGTGGAAAAATGTCCTAACGATCTCATGAATCATTCACCTAATATCACGGCTATATCCGATGCTAGGCACGTGACATATGCTGACACCAATCCCAAGGCTGAAACCCTCATGGACAGTCCGATGAGTTACAATCGGTACAACACTCTGGCTGGACAGACTGTGCCGATTATGCTGAAGCACCACAACAGCCCCTCGGTTTCGGCCATTCAGGCACAGGGGATGTACCAAAATTTCGGGACTATTCATGCAGGCAGTGTTCACCCGGGTACTATGCACTCGGGGACCATCCACTCGGGCATTCTGAGGGTCTCGGAACCCGGCACGAGCTCCAGCTCCAACTCAAGTCAGCGCAGCATGACCCTGCAGAACCCCAAGAGAAAATCCCAGATCGCCCAGAATACTTTTAGCACGCTCGAGTGCGAGAAGAGGAAGACCCGTAATCCCGGACTTCCTGGTAAAGCTGGGTTCTACACTGGAAGCGCTGTATGACCACCACCACCGCCGCCAACCCCGAGATAACTTGGCGAGAGCGAGTCTGAACTCTAATTCTGTTTCAGTCCTGCTGAATGGTCCATCAGAGGGAGTGAATTTGGGGGCTCGGTGTGGCGTGTCTCGTGGGAGGCTGGTGGTTTCTATGTAAAATTAATGCAGTGGGGGACACTAGTGCACTGCCAATTGCAGAGACTTTCTTATGATTATATTGTTACGATATTGAAATAAGAAAAGCCAGTTCAAATCAAAGTGTAGCGTGTTCCCCCTTCTATTTAATATTGTAAATAAAAGAAGAGGAATATCGATCGAAAACATCGATCGTCACTTGGAACGGAAGAACTTCACTTCGACAGAAACCTCCTTCCTGTCAACTATTCCTTGTTCTAAGAAAATAAAACCGCCCTTTGATTTGAACTGGCTTTTCTTATTTCAATATCGTAACAATATGTACTGTTACGATGAAGAATGTGATAAATTAAGTGTGCTGAGTGGAATGAGTCGTGTGTACATAAGTAATGGTGTACAATGCATCGAGGAAAGTAACTGTAAACTCACTTGGAAATTACACTTTTGTATTGAAGAAGAATTAATAATGGAGTTTGGAGATGAATTGCGGTTGTTGAATGAATGGTGAGAGGTGTCTGATATATTGAATGTGAAGTGCTACAAGCAGTGAGATGGACATTTTGAAAATGTCACTGTCAAGCCAATGGATGATCCGATTTGGGCCAGTTAGCACCTCATGTTATGACGATTGTGGTGTCTCTTCCAAATAAAGAGGAATGATGGTCGATCGATGGTGTAGTTGCATCGATATTTAATTTATGTCACGCCTTGCTGTAAGTCGAGTGTATCGCACGCTGCGCGCAGGACTTCTGCACGATGTAACGGAAAATATTATGGATCACTTCGGCATAAACTTCGTTCTCAATGAATGTGAGTACAAACCGCGCCTTTGGCTTGGCCTGTAAACTTCATATTCGCTGAAAACGACATTTGTACCCTTGTACTATAATGTACTATCAGATGTCTCAAAGGGGTTGAATTCAAAATCAATTCACTTCAAATGTTTGATAAGTTAAGAACTAATAAAGAGTAACATGAGGCGCCATTCACGCAAAATGAGATGATTCATTGGTGAGAGCAGAATGAGAATGAGAGTAAAGTCGTATTATTAACATTAGGTAAGGATTATTCGTCGTGAAACTGATTGACAGGGTGCATAAATGAAATGTTCAATTATTCTAACGGGAGAGACAATACTGAATGAATATTCTCAAATCGATCAATATAACTCTACGATTCAAATCCCAGAACATATCAAAGAGGAGCGACAAAAATAATGGGAGCAGTGTGCAAAATATTTTACGGCTAACATTTATGGGACAGGTTGAATGATGCTCTTTCCAATTTTTCGCGTTTGCTGTCATGTATACAGTCCCCATAAACATGCGTAACGAGTGATGTATGATAGAATTTTGTTACTATGCGAACGTTGTTCGGTCGTTGAAGGTAAAACGAAGTATTGGGAATCGATGGTTATCTGGGAGTGGGTGAAGTGTATGTAAGTTTGCCAGCTATTCATATTATGTCATGTAATTATATCGTAGTTGAATGTAATAAAGAGGTTTCCTTAATCATTACAAGTGTTCCCGTGATTGACCGTATTTAAATAACAATATAATTTGAAACTGCTTGTTTTTTTTTTTTTTAATTCTTCCAGTTTTCACTTTTTCCACATACTTTTGCGAGTTTTGGATAGCCCGTCGCTTAAATAGTTGGAATCAACGTTCACCCGACTAAAAAATTCGATTTTGGCGAAAATCCACTTGCCCCGGAAGACCCGAAAATCTGACCCTTTGGTTGGGGCGAAAAAAAACGGTTTCTCAGTTTTCACTTTTTCCCCATCCTTTTGACAGTTCTGACTAGCCCGGCGCTTAAATAGTTGGAATCAACGTTCACCCGACTAAAAAATTCGATTTTGGCGAAAATCCACTTGCCCCGGAAGACCCGAAAATCTGACCCTTTGGTTGGGGCGAAAAAAAACGGTTTCTCAGTTTTCACTTTTTCCCCATCCTTTTGACAGTTCTGACTAGCCCGGCGCTTAAATAGTTGGAATCAACGTTCACCCGACTAAAAAATTCGATTTTGGCGAAAATCCACTTGCCCCGGAAGACCCGAAAATCTGACCCTTTGGTTGGGGCGAAAAAAAACGGTTTCTCAGTTTTCACTTTTTCCCCATCCTTTTGACAGTTCTGACTAGCCCGGCGCTTAAATAGTTGGAATCAACGTTCACCCGACTAAAAAATTCGATTTTGGCGAAAATCCACTTGCCCCGGAAGACCCGAAAATCTGACCCTTTGGTTGGGGCGAAAAAAAACGGTTTCTCAGTTTTCACTTTTTCCCCATCCTTTTGACAGTTCTGACTAGCCCGGCGCTTAAATAGTTGGAATCAACGTTCACCCGACTAAAAAATTCGATTTTGGCGAAAATCCACTTGCCCCGGAAGACCCGAAAATCTGACCCTTTGGTTGGGGCGAAAAAAAACGGTTTCTCAGTTTTCACTTTTTCCCCATCCTTTTGACAGTTCTGACTAGCCCGGCGCTTAAATAGTTGGAATCAACGTTCACCCGACTAAAAAATTCGATTTTGGCGAAAATCCACTTGCCCCGGAAGACCCGAAAATCTGACCCTTTGGTTGGGGCGAAAAAAAACGGTTTCTCAGTTTTCACTTTTTCCCCATCCTTTTGACAGTTCTGACTAGCCCGGCGCTTAAATAGTTGGAATCAACGTTCACCCGACTAAAAAATTCGATTTTGGCGAAAATCCACTTGCCCCGGAAGACCCGAAAATCTGACCCTTTGGTTGGGGCGAAAAAAAACGGTTTCTCAGTTTTCACTTTTTCCCCATCCTTTTGACAGTTCTGACTAGCCCGGCGCTTAAATAGTTGGAATCAACGTTCACCCGACTAAAAAATTCGATTTTGGCGAAAATCCACTTGCCCCGGAAGACCCGAAAATCTGACCCTTTGGTTGGGGCGAAAAAAAACGGTTTCTCAGTTTTCACTTTTTCCCCATCCTTTTGACAGTTCTGACTAGCCCGGCGCTTAAATAGTTGGAATCAACGTTCACCCGACTAAAAAATTCGATTTTGGCGAAAATCCACTTGCCCCGGAAGACCCGAAAATCTGACCCTTTGGTTGGGGCGAAAAAAAACGGTTTCTCAGTTTTCACTTTTTCCCCATCCTTTTGACAGTTCTGACTAGCCCGGCGCTTAAATAGTTGGAATCAACGTTCACCCGACTAAAAAATTCGATTTTGGCGAAAATCCACTTGCCCCGGAAGACCCGAAAATCTGACCCTTTGGTTGGGGCGAAAAAAAACGGTTTCTCAGTTTTCACTTTTTCCCCATCCTTTTGACAGTTCTGACTAGCCCGGCGCTTAAATAGTTGGAATCAACGTTCACCCGACTAAAAAATTCGATTTTGGCGAAAATCCACTTGCCCCGGAAGACCCGAAAATCTGACCCTTTGGTTGGGGCGAAAAAAAACGGTTTCTCAGTTTTCACTTTTTCCCCATCCTTTTGACAGTTCTGACTAGCCCGGCGCTTAAATAGTTGGAATCAACGTTCACCCGACTAAAAAATTCGATTTTGGCGAAAATCCACTTGCCCCGGAAGACCCGAAAATCTGACCCTTTGGTTGGGGCGAAAAAAAACGGTTTCTCAGTTTTCACTTTTTCCCCATCCTTTTGACAGTTCTGACTAGCCCGGCGCTTAAATAGTTGGAATCAACGTTCACCCGACTAAAAAATTCGATTTTGGCGAAAATCCACTTGCCCCGGAAGACCCGAAAATCTGACCCTTTGGTTGGGGCGAAAAAAAACGGTTTCTCAGTTTTCACTTTTTCCCCATCCTTTTGACAGTTCTGACTAGCCCGGCGCTTAAATAGTTGGAATCAACGTTCACCCGACTAAAAAATTCGATTTTGGCGAAAATCCACTTGCCCCGGAAGACCCGAAAATCTGACCCTTTGGTTGGGGCGAAAAAAAACGGTTTCTCAGTTTTCACTTTTTCCCCATCCTTTTGACAGTTCTGACTAGCCCGGCGCTTAAATAGTTGGAATCAACGTTCACCCGACTAAAAAATTCGATTTTGGCGAAAATCCACTTGCCCCGGAAGACCCGAAAATCTGACCCTTTGGTTGGGGCGAAAAAAAACGGTTTCTCAGTTTTCACTTTTTCCCCATCCTTTTGACAGTTCTGACTAGCCCGGCGCTTAAATAGTTGGAATCAACGTTCACCCGACTAAAAAATTCGATTTTGGCGAAAATCCACTTGCCCCGGAAGACCCGAAAATCTGACCCTTTGGTTGGGGCGAAAAAAAACGGTTTCTCAGTTTTCACTTTTTCCCCATCCTTTTGACAGTTCTGACTAGCCCGGCGCTTAAATAGTTGGAATCAACGTTCACCCGACTAAAAAATTCGATTTTGGCGAAAATCCACTTGCCCCGGAAGACCCGAAAATCTGACCCTTTGGTTGGGGCGAAAAAAAACGGTTTCTCAGTTTTCACTTTTTCCCCATCCTTTTGACAGTTCTGACTAGCCCGGCGCTTAAATAGTTGGAATCAACGTTCACCCGACTAAAAAATTCGATTTTGGCGAAAATCCACTTGCCCCGGAAGACCCGAAAATCTGACCCTTTGGTTGGGGCGAAAAAAAACGGTTTCTCAGTTTTCACTTTTTCCCCATCCTTTTGACAGTTCTGACTAGCCCGGCGCTTAAATAGTTGGAATCAACGTTCACCCGACTAAAAAATTCGATTTTGGCGAAAATCCACTTGCCCCGGAAGACCCGAAAATCTGACCCTTTGGTTGGGGCGAAAAAAAACGGTTTCTCAGTTTTCACTTTTTCCCCATCCTTTTGACAGTTCTGACTAGCCCGGCGCTTAAATAGTTGGAATCAACGTTCACCCGACTAAAAAATTCGATTTTGGCGAAAATCCACTTGCCCCGGAAGACCCGAAAATCTGACCCTTTGGTTGGGGCGAAAAAAAACGGTTTCTCAGTTTTCACTTTTTCCCCATCCTTTTGACAGTTCTGACTAGCCCGGCGCTTAAATAGTTGGAATCAACGTTCACCCGACTAAAAAATTCGATTTTGGCGAAAATCCACTTGCCCCGGAAGACCCGAAAATCTGACCCTTTGGTTGGGGCGAAAAAAAACGGTTTCTCAGTTTTCACTTTTTCCCCATCCTTTTGACAGTTCTGACTAGCCCGGCGCTTAAATAGTTGGAATCAACGTTCACCCGACTAAAAAATTCGATTTTGGCGAAAATCCACTTGCCCCGGAAGACCCGAAAATCTGACCCTTTGGTTGGGGCGAAAAAAAACGGTTTCTCAGTTTTCACTTTTTCCCCATCCTTTTGACAGTTCTGACTAGCCCGGCGCTTAAATAGTTGGAATCAACGTTCACCCGACTAAAAAATTCGATTTTGGCGAAAATCCACTTGCCCCGGAAGACCCGAAAATCTGACCCTTTGGTTGGGGCGAAAAAAAACGGTTTCTCAGTTTTCACTTTTTCCCCATCCTTTTGACAGTTCTGACTAGCCCGGCGCTTAAATAGTTGGAATCAACGTTCACCCGACTAAAAAATTCGATTTTGGCGAAAATCCACTTGCCCCGGAAGACCCGAAAATCTGACCCTTTGGTTGGGGCGAAAAAAAACGGTTTCTCAGTTTTCACTTTTTCCCCATCCTTTTGACAGTTCTGACTAGCCCGGCGCTTAAATAGTTGGAATCAACGTTCACCCGACTAAAAAATTCGATTTTGGCGAAAATCCACTTGCCCCGGAAGACCCGAAAATCTGACCCTTTGGTTGGGGCGAAAAAAAACGGTTTCTCAGTTTTCACTTTTTCCCCATCCTTTTGACAGTTCTGACTAGCCCGGCGCTTAAATAGTTGGAATCAACTACCCGGCTAAAAAATTCGATTTTGGCAAAAGTCGACTTTGCCCCGGGAAAAACGGAGAGACCTTGAAAGACCTGCGTACCTCCAATCAGAACCAAATTCTCCTCTCGGGATGATCCAATGAAATTTCAAATAAATTGAAATCGCACCTTTAGGAAACCACATTTTTTATTAACAATGTGAATGGAACTCCCGCATCGATTGATTGTTGTTGCAAGTTTCGAGCAATTCCACCTGCATTTCTGAGGAAAGTCATATCATTGACAATTTCCTTTTTCATTTAACTAAAAAAATTCACCCGCTAGTTTCCCCAAATTCCGTCATCACCCCCGCTGTTGCCTGCAGTCGATAAGCTTTCCACCCGTCAGTATGCTACCACTAGCCGACCAGCACAAACATTCTTGCCGACTCCCCATTAATCATCAAAACCAAATAAGGAAACCCCCTTCACTAACGAAAGACGGTTCGCTATTCAAACATATCGTATGACGTCAATCGGATTCTCAAAACCCCCTTCGATAATGTCTCCTCGCACATTCCCCCATGAACAATCTTCCCTATCTCAGAAATGGAACATAGAGAAACAACATCAGACCCTCGTGAACTTCCCATTGTTCAAAGGCCTCAGCTACACACCAATAATCCCACAACTCCCAACAATTAAAAATGAAAAATTGC